AGGAAAAAGTTATGAACGATGGATGTGCAGGTTGGATAAAGCAACACGTTGAATTTGAATAAAATGTGAGGAAAGTGAGTGAAATATTTAGAGTGGCAGAGATTCAGAGGGGAGCAGAGATAGTGGGAGAGATGAATGGGAATGGGAATGGGAATGGGAAAGCCAGATAGGGAGTCACAGATAGCAAACGAGGGAACAAAATATGTGGAGCAAAGTTTGATTTATGAGTTCGATTCGTAGATTATTCGATGTAAACAGAAACCAAATCAGTCGCCCCGAGAAATGAAAAGTTGGACTTAAAGAGAGGCAAGGATTTTCTGCGTAAAATAAATTTAAGTTTGATGCAGATTTCACACGAGTTTCATTCTCTCTAAAATTCAATTAAAATACTTTTCTGCAACAGCAATTTCTGACACTTAAAACTGCAAAATCTTAAAAAAATATTCGCAGAAAAAGGTGTCCTCAAGCAACTTTAATTTTCACCACACAAAAAACAGCAGAAAAGCTTCTTTTGTTATAAAAAAATGAAAGAAAAGAAAACAGAAGACTTCAAGTGAAAAATTGAGCCAACTTGAAAACTTTTCCACTGATTGTTAAAAACATTGTCCGTCTGCGGAAGCTCTCTTTCCGGGGAACTTTCACTGCAACTCCGCATCATTCGCCCGCCAAAAAAAACCCACTTTAATAATAAAGATAATAAAAAAAGAAAAGACCAGTAGCAGATGGAGGGGAGCTATTCAGGGGAAAAAACAGAACCAAGATGAAATTGCATTACGTCGATTTTGTGAATTTTTCTATGCAAAGAGAAAAGTGAAGGCAGAGCCGGGGGAAAAGCTGAAAAAAATTCGATGCGGAGATAGCCAAAGGAAGCTAGACCGGCTGCAAGTGGCTTAAAAAGTGCCTCAAGATGTGGCAACATTGGTTTCGGACAGAAGTTACTTTGCATCTCTTAAGGAGAGTCCACGACGATGGGACACAGAAAAAAGGAAATGAAAGCAGGGAAAAATGGCAGAATAAAAGGATAAAGATTTTCATTGGTTTCGGCTGCAGGCTGATGAAGCTGAAGCGGCTTTCAGGTACTACATTTCTTAGTCATTCATTCCTCATAAAATCATTCATTTGCAAAAGGCTAAACTTTCCACTCAGGGTGCGGGAGAGTAGGAAATGAATTGCATTGAAAGGACATTTTATAGATGAGTTTTTAAGATGGAAAGATAGCAAAAGGAAGTCCTGAAATGAGCTTCGATTCCTGATTTGGCTTAAGAGACTTTACATATTAATCTGCCTCGTTTCCTCAACCTAATCTTAATAACAACACAGATCGGCGCTTATATTATTGCTAATCAAGAGCATAAAATTATTATTTAGTTTCTTTTGAACATTTATTTCCTTTACTTTATTGTTTTATTGAATTATTGAGCATTAAAAGAACGCTATTAAAATGTCAAACATTCACTTTTGATGTTGATGAATTGTGTCAAAAGATTACATTGGGACTACAATCTTTTTAAAACACAAAGACTATAAGGGAATATTGAGAGTTTGGAAATTGTTGTGTTGCAATTGCTTCTTCGGAATGAATGATTCCCCAAGTCTAATGTACATTCATGTTGAATGTTGTTTGCTTAAACGTTGGGAAACCGATTCTACATTTAATTTCCTAGGTTTACGCGCTGTCTTAACCCACTCTTACCACAAAATGCTCTTGAGTTTATCTGCTTTAAATTTGTGTTTATCCAGGGCACACGACGTTCTTGCTTAAGTAATTTCTGCCGTGGTCTGATCGGGGCGAAGTTTGGGGGTGCTCCTCGTTATCTGGGTGCTGGGCGTGTTTTTAATTGCCAAGGACAATTAAAAACAATTTTGCAGGCACAAAAGAGTTGGCAATAAATTTAATTGGGCGGCACCAGAAACGCCCATTGACTTGGGCGGTTTAATTTCGGTCGAGAGCTAGAGTAAGGGGTGAGTATTTTCGCACCTAGTGACACGCTGTCTAGGGTTGCCATTGCCAGAGGAGTTGTGGCTGCGACTAGGGCTGGGGGGCAGCAATTTATGCGGCTGTCAGTTGCAGGGGCAACTTGGATTTTTATTGGCACCCGGCACGCAGCCAGGCTCCGGCATCCTGCTGCCTGCTGCCTGCTGGCCGGCTTTCCAACGCTTCCCCCATCGCTTAGCTGCCTCTCAAGTAATTGCATTGAGCACATAAATCAATTGAATTGCATTTTCATGCGACAAGTTTGGCCAACCCTCGACTCACGCTGGAAGGGCTGCCCTTGTCTGCAAGTGAAGTGAAAGCCAAAAGTAGTTTTTCTTTCCAGCTGTCTCTCATCTTTTTAGCCCCAGCACCAGTGTGGCAGCAAAGCCAAAAACCCCTTCAAGCGTAGCATAATCAATTGAAATTGCATGCAATGCGTCAATAGCACACCCAAGCCAGCCCCCCATCCCCATTCACATCCCCAACACCAGCACCCAAAAAAACTCAAGACCCAGACAAAGTAAAAAAGTCGAAAGGGAATACGAGAGCATGTCGAGAGCCCTTCTATGGGCTCCGTTCCCCTTGTTGTGGCTGCACGTAAAAAGATTATCGCAAACTTCGTTTATAGCTTATCAAATTAAATGATTAATGTTTCTCAATGTTTTTCCATTCTTTCTTGAATTCGTCTTCCCATTCCGTCCCAGTCTTAACCTTCCAGGAAAATGTCAGCAACAGTTTTCATTTCCGTTTTTCTTACTCTTCAAATGGTTTTTGTGTTGCGGTTGTTGTTGGTTTTATTTAAGTTTGCTCAACATTTTATTGGGAAAGTTTTGGTTGTGTGACATTACCGCCAAGCTGATTTGTGGTTTTTTATTTGGAGAATTGTTTGAAAACTTGGAAGTCTAACAGGTTCAACATGGAGATGAAATGTGGTTACATGCAATAGATGCTCATACATACGTTCCACATGGAGTCCACATATGTTTTATGTATATTATTTCGTTTTTAATGCACAATTAATGGAAAATAATTGTTTCTCGGCGAACTTTGTGTTAACTTAAGTTCCACATTCGTTCTACTTGGGTTGCACTCGGATTGTGCACTGTGTACCAAATGTATCCTTCCAGAAAAACACACCCCTAATGCATATATCGACTGCAACTTTAAATTTCATTATAAACCTTGTTACAAATCCCAGTCAATAAGCACCCAAAGGGGGGAAACCTATTCCTCTAGCATTTACTCTGCAGTAAATTTGTGTTTTATTTGTCTTGTCTCATAAACAAAAGTTCACCGTTGCATCAGAAAATGTTTTCATCTTCCACGCGCACACAACACATGATCCACAGGCACACACATTCCCACATTAATCAGTCGGGGCGGGCAGACATGGTACTAGTCGTGCTCGTACTTGTACGCACTCGGAAAATATAACTCATCAGGGCACAAATTACAAAGACAAACGATGACTGACAACCGCAAGGCTTTTTTGGCTGAATTTGAAAACGGAACGAGAGTGAGGAATGGGAGGGGAGCAACAGCCAGCCTGGCCACCACTTAGCACCCACAATCCACAGAGCTGCACCATCAGCAGAGGAGGAGCACGAGCAGCAGCAGCATAACAGGGGGGCCAGGGCTCGGCGTTTTTGTTAATTAAACAAATGCCGCAGTGACATGTGCACATCACGAGATGTGATGACTTTGCCGGGTTTCGGGTTCGCGTTCGGGTTCGGGTGTGGATTCGGGTTTGGGTTTGCGATGGGTTTGGGGCTGTGGTTTAGTGCATCTGCATTCGGTGGGGTGGCGAAGCGGGGTGTTGGGTGGCTTGTGGCCATGGATCTCGAATGTGGATGCCAAACGCGCAGGCACACACACGCACACACGGAATTTCGCTTGACAAAAGCGCACACAAATAACGGGGAAAACAGGCGACGGCCACGGCAACGACGACGACGACGACGACGACAATGGCTCCGCATGCAATTTAATTTATTTCAATTGCAACAGAATTATTACGACAGTCGACAAAGTGCCGCCGCAGAGCAATTTGCTCAGCTTCCCTGACTACCCTCAATAAATTCCCATTTTCTTGCTTCCATTCCCTTCCCTCTTTCCCGTGCCCCTTTCTTGTGCGCTTTTTTTTTAGGGAATTGTTAATAAACAAATTCATGCGCGAAGAAAGTAAACGCAGTAAGCGTCAATTTCAATTGAACAGACGCGTGGCTCCCGCGTTGATAACGACCGCTGTGGGGATCGGGCTACGGGGGGAGCTAGGTCACTCTTACAGTGTGGTCCAGGTTCCCTCCCTCTCTCTCTCTCTCTCTCTGTTTGTTGTTTTTACGTGGAAGAGCAGAAGTTTCTCAAAAGCGCGGTCAGGAAAGAGCAGGCTAGGGCTATGGAAACCAAAGTTTATTTCCTTTTACATTTAAACACTCCAATTTCAATAACCTTTTCAGGCATCAGATTCAAAGAATCATTTGAGAATGAACTCATTGAATATCACAATTCAACTCCGAACCTGATCTGATCGTTCCCACTGTACAGTGTGCCCGGCACTCGGTTTCCCTCTCGTAAAAACCAACTCCACTTTTGCCCGGCAAAACTCTAAACTGCAATTTTGCAATGCCACTGCACCATGGGTGGCATAAAGCATTCAATTTCGTTGCTGCTGCTGCTGCTGCTGCTGCTGCTGTTGTTGCAACTTGTATTTTTTGTTGGTGCCACTGGCACGCTTGGTGTTGTTTTTGCCATTGTTTGTTGTTGCTGGCTTGGCCAGTTTCAAGTGTAAATTAATTTATGAGGCACGCCATGAGCCCGGCGCCTGGCTGCGGTCAGAGTTGCCTCCGTATCTGTGTCTCCCAGCCAGCCTGCCCCTCGCTGACTGGAAAATGTCAGCCAGAGTGTGAAATTTCATATTTGAATATTCGCCAAAAACGTTGACAAATGAAGTCTGCATAATTGGGTAACATTTGGTCATGGTATGATAGAGTTTCTATGGTTCAATTTTGTATTCGCTCGCACTCACCTTTCAATGTGCCGATGAGCAACAGAGCGGCCAGCAAATTGTGTTGGCCAAACATTTTGATTGCGGGTGTTCTTCTATTTCTTTCTCAATGATTCTCTGCAATGGAAAGAAAAAACAATTCGTAAATGAAATGGAAATATAAATAGTATAATGAAGGGGGGAGGAGGGAGTCTCTGACACGCCTCTGAGTCATCAGAGGCAGACAGAAGTAATTTGTTTGCTTGTTTGGTTGGGCATAATAGAGACATTTCCATGGTCTGTTCTGGGTGTGTGCCGCCCAACCCTCAACGACAACAAGTGTGGGGGGAGGCGAGCGGAAGAGACGCCACCTGTCACCTGCGATCTGTTACCTGTTACCCATCATGAGACACCAGTCGCCGATTCGTTGTCATCATTCAAATGTCATTTCTGTAGAGGAGTATGATAGAACAATTCGTTGGGCCACAAATTGCTGTTTGACATGGCACCTGACGCTAATCAAAACTACACATGAGCTTGCATTTTGGTATACCCCTCTGTAATCGGTGCACCCCTCCCCACCCGCACAAGCCCGGAGGCACAATTAAGCTCGAATTGAAAGTTTTGTTTTTGTGTGTGCCATCGAAAATGTTCATTAGTGCCCGAACAGACCAGACCCCAAAGGCTCGACTGGATTTGAATTGGATTTCAACTTTTGTCCATCCATGAGGGGGGGTAGCTCCCCCTCCAGCCTTGCCATATCGAGCCACACATCCCATTGAATTCGAAAATCGTTCAATGATTGTCATCGTAGGTGTGACTAATTGTTGGTCATTTATCTTCTTCGCTTTCTTTTGGGATTCCCATTCTGTTTTTTTCTGCTTTGTCTCTGTTCCCTTTGCTCTTTTGGGTTTCCATGGAAATCATGAATAATTTGAGCTCTAAATGGAAAGACTGGGATAGGCCCTGGGCCTTATGTGTCTCTAATTGATGGATAATTGAAGGTCTACTCCGTATGGAGAGTACAGCTCAGAGTTGATCAATTGACTGAAGAGGTGAGCAGGAGGTGATGAATGAATCGGGGAGAGCAGAACTTGAAGGAAATATCTTTAATCCGTTTGACTCTCTTCTTGCAGTAAAACGAAACTTAACTTTAATAGAAGAAAACTCTTTGGCAATAATGAGGAAACTTAATAACAATTTTCGGGACAGAGGACACAGAGACCAGCATGCATCCGATTGCAATTTTCGAGCATTTTGCCGAACAATTACTACACATGTGACCCCCTCCTAGAACCCTGAAACTTTCCAACTTCTCTGACATGCACTCATATTTATATCACATGGATGTGGGCCAATGATTGGGCTTTGATTGACAAAAGGAAAGACATTTCGTGGTGTGTGGATGGTAGAATAGAGTGCGAGGAGAAAACGAGCAGAGTATTCCGTGTAGAGCCTGGGAAGTGTTTGCATGCAATCTCCTACCTGACAGATGTAAACTTCAACTCACACTGCAAATGTATTCCCATAATGTGACTTGTAGTGGTGTTTCTTTTTTTTTTGTATCTGTCTATGTTTGAGCCTTGTATCTGTTCGTTCCGAAACAAGTCAACAAGGACTCAGTGCCATAGGCAACACCAGTGCCGCTCCGCCTCTCCACCTATCCTTCCCCGCCTCATTGTGGCATGAACAGACAATCCCCCCCAGCACTCCTCGACAGGTGCACGGAGCTCTAACACCGTCACACACGTCTCATTTTCCTTTACTTTCGTTTCGTTGGCTCCTTCTCTTTTCCGTATCTTTTTTTTTTTGGTTGGCAGAAAACTAATTTCAAAGCAAATGCGATACAGTCACAAGTGACTGAGACGACGACTCCCCAGCCTGTTGTTGGGTTTCCTTGGGGTGGCGCTGCTGGTCTCGTATGTCAGCCTGTCAGCGATACTCTCTCCCTGAGCTGGGTCCTGGCCAGAGCCCTAAATAACTTGAGCCAGGTGAGAAGACTTCATTCGCAGTACATGGGGATTGAGGTCAAAGAAATTTGTACCGGAAAACTGTAAGGCAACGAAATAATCAAACCAATTAGAATGGAAAACGAGAGCGAGCAGTGCACTACGGACTTAACAGAAAACCTGCAAAAACGTTTCACACTCTTTAAGGCGTAGTTATCATTCGATTCAGTGATTTATTCCACCAACTTTACTCATTTGTTGCCCTTAATTTGCTACCCTCTAAAGGGCAAACCTAATTCGTTGTATCTCGGGGAAACGATCTCGCATGGCTCGCGTGTTTTGGCAGCTTCATTTGCATAATTCTGTCGTTAAGTGGCGGAAAAGTGTAATCGAATGAATGAGTAGATAGACGCACACTCCGGGGAATGCCCCAACGCCCACACACTTGACTTCACTTCCCCTTAGACTGTAATTAGAAGTCAAATTTATTGAAAAATTAATTGCAATTTTGGCACAATGAGAAAATCATATGATACTCTCTTTCATTTTCCTCTCTCTCTCGACCCACAATGACAAATGAATGGAAGACAAAAGGGCAGCTGGCAGCTGGCAGCAGCCCCACAAGTGCCATGGGGACACGCACTAAAATAATGGAAACTCGAAGAACTTTTACTTCTTTTTGTTCATGTGTTCATGATGGGGAAAATGAAATGTTGCCAAGGACAGAAGCCCATCCCCTCTGGCCACCTTCTGGCCATCGAAAATTGAAAAGTTATCAATTACAGCTCCTATTTGAGTGATTGACTTTTCCTCACCTGTCTTCTGTCCGCTCTGTCCTTCTATAATCTAGCATATGCCAAAAAAAAAAAGAAATGTTTTGTTCTTTGTGCTCGCTTTTCCTCTACATAGTACATGCCACATCGCACCCCAGGCATTTTCCGTGCTTCCTCAGCTCAGGTTACAATATCATGGCCCAGAGCGTATTGAGGTAATTGAATTTTGGTTTTTGGCCATGTAGCCGAATGATGAGGGGGTAGCCTCTGAGGTAGCATAAAAATGTTCAAATTGCAAGTGCAAAAATTCCCAAATTATTCAGCAAGTCTTTGTGAAAAGAGAAAGTGAATGCGTCCTGTGGGTGGGTTTGGCAAGGTTCAATGAAGCCATTTATCTGGGATCGGGTTTATAGTTTGGTAGCTGAGAACAGGTAGCCGAAAGTTTGTTTCTGGAGAATTTCTGGATGAATAAAGTATTCAATATTCAGTTTTTATTTTATTTATGTGTGAAATTCTGTTGGACCGACGATTATTCATAATTGTTCAAGTCACAACGAATGTTGAATTGATATTTATGTTGGTTTTTAATTGGAAGTATAACATAAATTTGCCAGAAGACTTGCAAAGACGGAGTCAAAAAAGAGAAATAAATAAAAGGCAAATATGCATCTCTTGCCTTTGGTCTGCTTCCAGATATATTTAATGAAATAATTTGTACTAGAATGAAGATTCATCCTTTTGAAAGCAGTAACCAAATCTCTATTACAATTCCCCACCTCATCAAGAACTCACCACAAAAATATTCATGAATATTAACCCATAATCGCACCAATTTCATTCAGCCACACAGAAGCACTTGACTTGATTGAAGGCAGATCAAGTTGCCCCAACAAAAATGTTTGTGGGGGCACCACTCAAAAAATTAGCCAACATAAAATGATGATGATGGGAATTAATTAAGTCAAATCGAATAAATAACAAACAAAGCAGGCGAGGGAATTCCAATGCAATGAGAAATTCTTTTTTTATAGAATTTATTGGGATTCTTTTGGATGGTGGAATGAGGTGGAATGAGGGAGCTGGGGACAGGGATCTCGCCCACTTGTGGCGTTGCCAAATCGATTTCAAAACTCCATAAACAAAACGAAGGCGAGCGGGCCGGGCCCTACGGCAAATGTGAAATCTCAAGCCATCCAATAAACCGACAACAGCAGCACAGCAGCAGCAACAACAACCAGAGGGAAAGAATAATAGCACTGAGAATGAGGAGCATTTATAAACAACAAAAAGAGGCATTCTGTTCGCTTTAATTTGTTTATTTTGTGCTAAAGAGCAACACGCATCGAGTGCCATAAAAAATCAACAGGCAGCAGCCGTAGCTCCCACCCAAAACAATGTGGACTGGGCTCTGAGGGAAACTTACAAAATTTATAAACTGTGCAAACTTCGGGCAGAGGGCAGTTCGCGTATCACTAAGAGTAGAAGCAGCACCCAGCACCGGCAGCAAAGAACACCATAGAAAAAGGCTAAACTGAGAAGGAGAAAATATTTATGCAAACGTCAATTGGGTTGCAATTGAATTGAGCCATGAGGCATGAGGCACGTACTTCTGCTTGCCCGTATTTATACACTATAGACGGAGTATAATAGCAATGGCAAAAGGGAGGGCATGCAAACTGGAAGCTTGACATGCATTAAATAAAAAAGGAATAAAATAGCCAAATCATAGAAGAGCAAACCATGGACCATGTGTTGAAGCTATTCCACTTTGTCTTGCAGGATCTCAAACCATTGTTGGTCTGTTCCCACTCATTCAATTATTTAGAGCTATTGAATGTCATCCCCCACGACCATTTCCAAAGAGCATTTGTCATTCGTTCGAATCCATCATCTATGAATTTGTATTTGTATTTTTTTATTAGGATCCCATACATTTGCCCCCCGCTCGTTGCACGTTCCATCCCACCCAAATTGATATACAAGTCAGACGACGTGACGTATGAGTGATGATGCGTGTGCCACATCTCTTCACCATGCCCCAGTGGCCCATAGAAAGCAGCACCCATCCCTGTGTAAACATTCGATTCGATGGCAGCGGCAGCAGCATATGAATGCCATATTTGATATAGCGCCAGTAGCTATAGGGCCGAAAAGAGTTCGATGGGAGTACGAATACGAGTACGAGTATATTGGAAAATTAGGTTGCAGCGACGCCGGCGCCAGTTCCGATATGGAAAGAGAGAGAGAGCTTCTGGCTTGTTTATGCCACTTGAGGCATAGCCCCCTCCGCCCCCGGCAACCATCCTAATGTGCAACATTTGATTGACTGACTGAGTGACTGAGCGAACGAGTAAATGATGATTGTCTGCTGCACAAGTGCCCATGCCCATGCCCATGCCCATGCCCATGCCTCCGT